TGTGTGTGTGTCTATGACTATGTGTGTGTGTGTGTCTATGACTATGTGTGTGTGTCTATGACTATGTGTGTGTGTGTGTGTATGACTGTGTGTGTGTGTGTGTCTATGACTATGTGTGTGTGTGTGTGTCTATGACTATGTGTGTGTGTGTGTGTCTATGACTATGTGTGTGTGTGTGTCTATGACTATGTGTGTGTGTCTATGACTATGTGTGTGTGTCTATAACTATGTGTGTGTGCATTAATCTATAAGTCATATACCTATACATATAAAGTATATTCAAATACCTAACACACACACACACACACACATAAGCACAGTTTGCTCTGATATCACATATAGTACACACACACACAAAATCATTTCAAATGCTAACACATCACTTAGTCTTTCATATATATATATATCGTATTTTTAATGTGAACCCTAACAAAAAATAGCAAACAAACAAAAATAATATTTATTTATCACTAAACAACACTTTATGTTAAACGCAAAACAATATATAGCGATATTTTTAAAAAAGAAAAAGTAGACTTTTTTTTGTTCACTCATCTATTATTTTCTATGTGTGTGTGAGTGAGTGAGATTGAGAGAGAGAGAGAGAGAGAGAGAGAGAGAGAGAGAGATTGCACACAAAAAATCGATACAAAACTCGTTGACTCAAACAAGTCATCAAATGACTGACTTAATGAATGAATTGTATAAAAGTTGTGTCGATTTTTCCCATTTTTAATGTAATTTAGATATAAGATATTAATCTGATGTAAATACACACATATATACACACATATATACACACACACATACACACATACATAAACACACACATACATACATACATACATACATACATACATACATACATACATACATACATACATACATACATACATACATACATACATACATACATACATACATACATACATACATACATACATACATACATACATACATACATACATACATACATACATACATACATACATACATACATACATACATACATACATACATACATACATACATACATACATACATACATACATACATACATACATACATACATACATACATACATACATACATACATACATACATACATACATACATACATACATACATACATACATACATACATACATACATACATACATACATACATACATACATACATACATACATACATACATACATACATACATACATACATACATACATACATACATACATACATACATACATACATACATACATACATACATACATACATACATACACATAGACACACATACATACACACACACATACATACACATACACACACACACACACATACACACACACACATATACATTAATACATACACATAATTAAAGTTTATTTTTTTGTGGTTATTTCATTTATAAAAAATAAAAATTACTTTTTAATTTCATTTTAATAATAATTATAATTTTCTCCTAAAATCTCTACAATTTTTTTTGAGATTAAACTCAAATATTTAATTAACTATGTTTTTAAAAAAAAAAAACATTTTTTGTTGCGAAATAACAATTTATTTTTATATTTTAAATTAAACAAAAAATAGTTTTATATAATTTAATTAGTTTAGTATTTAAAATTTTACAAAAAATTATGTTTATAGTAATAGGTTTTGCATAATTTTTATATTTAATTTTATATACTGTATATTATTGTCCAAATAATTTTAGGTATATTTATAAAAAAATAAAAAAATAATACATTTTATACACATTAGACTAATTAAAGTCTAGTTATTATGCATACAAATAACTGTAAATTATTTGTACAAATTATCGTGTAATCTATATACATATATAAAAAAATAATTTTTACAAACTTTTACATAAACATTAAACACATGGATAAGTTAAACTTAAAAAACTTTATTATATATATATAATATTTAATAATAATAATAATAATAATAATAATAATAATAATAATAATAATAATAATGTTTAACAATGTATGTGTGTCCTGGAGCTTAATCGGTTGTTTACCAACAAAAAAAATGTTTGCATATATTTACTATTAAATTATTTTTTTGATTTTGTTGTTGTTTAGTAAAAATTTAATTATTAAAATTTAATTAAATTTATTTTTTTTGTTGGTGTTGTTTATGTTTGTTTTAATAATTTATTTTTGTTACAGTGTTTTTTAATTATGTTTACATTTATTTAGTTTTGTATATATATATATATATATATATGTGTGTGTGTGTGTGTGTGTGTATGTGTATATGTGTGAGTGTATGTATGTATAAAAAATTTAACTTTTTTATGTRTGTGTGTGTACATTATATACAGTATACACTGTAAATATATATATTTAGGTTTAAAAAAATTAAATAGACTTTACTTTTTATAGTAGACTATATTATACTGTAGTTTAGTATATATTTAACTAATTTATTAAATTAAAGTTAATGTTAAACATACTGTATATATATATAAATTATATACTGTATAAACAATGATTATAATTTAAAGTTAATTATAATTTATTTATTTTTTTAATATTAACATTTATATTTAAAATCACATTATAATTTTTTTAGACATATTTTTTTCAATACGATTTAGTTTTTATAATTTAAATAGATATGAAATTTTTTAAATAGTAAAAAAACTATTTGTCATAAATAATACCCCAAAAAAATCAATACCAATAAGTCATACAATAAAATAAAATAAAATGTTATTACAATAAATATAATAATAACAACAAAATTGTCATACATTTCAAAAAATAAAATTTTGTCATTTATTGTAATACGGATTTACATTGGTTTTTATGACAATTGTAATAATAATAATAATAATAATAATAAAATACTTATAAATATTACTTTTATATTTAATTTTATTTTTTTGTATTGCAATGTATTGTTGATATCTATAAGTTTAAGCAATATATATATATATATATAAAAGGGTTAAAAAAAATATATTGTAAATCATTGACTAAAATCATGTTTCAATGGCTTTTTTATACTCAAATAATATTAATAATAAAATAATAACAAAAATATTTATATATTTTTTCAAAATTTTTTTTAATAGTCTTATTAAACATAAGTACTATTTAATAATCATTGAAATCATATTAAAGAATATTATTATAACAATAATAATAATAGTAATAATAATAATAATAAGATTATTGTTAATATAAATTTTTTATAAATACTATATATATATATATATTAAATAATACAATAATTTTGACAACAAAAAAATTATTTATTATTATTATTTTTTATTGAAAATCTATTATACAATATAATTGATATGTCAGTGACTTATATTCAGTAAGTCATTGCTTATTAAAATAAAAATTATTGAAATTTTTTGTTGTTGTAAGCAATAAATAAAATAATTAATTATCCTAAAAAAATGTCCACCAAAAAAAAAATTTGTTGTATATAATAAAACATTTGTCAAAATTGTGAAAAAATAAAAACAATTTTTCGCACATTTATTATTCATAGTTTTAGTAGTAGTAATAATAATAATAATAATATTATAATAATATTTTAAACAATATAAATGCATAATCTATGAGTATTATTGTGTATATAATAGTATATAAAAAAATAATTTTTAGACATTTATATATAGAGAGATATACATATCAAAAAAAAATAAAATAAAATCATAATTAAAATATATAAAACTTTTATAATAATAATTATATAAATAAAATTTAAATTGAAAAGTTTATCTTTTAAAAAAAATAATATATTAAKTTTGCATATGTRTATGTTATTAGAAATTAAAATTATATAAATTATAATTATAAAATAATAATAATAATAACACMAATAATAATAAATATAGATTACGACGAMRACAACAACAAAAATAAATTAAAAAATAATTTTTTAGTTTTTAATAAAAATTATAATATGTTTTCTAATGTTTATATTACATATGAGTTTTACATATAGATAATAGTCAACAAATAAATAAAGATATATCATATATATGTGATATTTATTTAACATATAAATTTATATATATATATAATAAATTACAGAATATATAAAAATTTATATATATATATATATCTGTAAATTATTTAATCATAAATCTAAATAGAAATTAATTAAAATAAAAAATTTCCAGATTTTTGTATATCATGATTACATGTAATAATAATAATAATAATAATAATACAGTGAAAGTTATATGTAATTTTTGAAATGCACACAAAATTTTTAATTAAATTACTGACAAACCTTATTAAAAACATGATATACTAATAATAATATTAATATATATTTATAGATACTATAGTATACAATATATATATATAGTGTTTATATTTATTGCATATATATATATATCTAAATTTATTTCTCTTATATGTTTTAATAGTGTGATGGTCTCAATGGACAGTTACTACCACTACTACTACAGTACTACTAGTATTAGTAGTACAGTATAGCACACGTATGTTGTCTGTGTGTGTTTATGTGTGGTTATGGTATGGTATGGATGCTGAGGGAAACGTCATGTTGTTTATCTGATGATGAGATATCATATATTAATATATATATATATATATATATATATATATATAAACAAATATACATATAATTTTCAGTACATGTAAAAACTAAAAGAGGAAAGTAATGATTATCACTACTACTACTACTACTACTAGTTATCCATCAAATGGTTTCAATCATATTAATTGATGTTATAATACTATATATATATATAATAAATATATACCTATAATGTAATCCCAATGACTGACTAACTGACCGACTGGTGACCACCGACTGTTTGGCCCAAAAAWACATACAAATATATATATATATATATATATAAGTAATGAATAACATATTTACGGCATTTTTATTATCATCATCAGCACTACTAGTATGCAAATTACCGATAATCATATTAAATGGGCTAATATTAAGGATAAATATAAATAATAATAATMATAATAACATTGATTGCAACCATACAACAGCACACGACTACTGTACGAGGAGATCCCATTAGCTCAGGTATGTGTATATKTATATATATATATATATATAGTATGTGTTTGTATATGTCTATGTATGTRTGTGTGTGTGTATGTCTAAAATATTTTATTATTAATTAATTATTTAAATTTATTTATTTTATAATTGATAATTATATTATATATACGATATATATATATATATATAATAAATTATAGTGAATRTAGTAGTTATTAGTAGTAAATGTATTTTAAAATATTTATATTATTAAATTTTTATATATATATAATTTTTTATCTCAAGTCAATTTATGATATAATTTTTTTTTATAAAAAAATTATATATATATATATATATATTAATTTATATCAAATATATTATTGTATAATAATTTTTGAAAGAAAAAAATATTTCTAGTTATCTAATTGATTGCATTTTATTTAAATGTATTTAATAATAGACTTAATAAATATTATTATTATTATCATATTATTAAATATTTATATATTTAATTTATAATAAAAATAAATTTGATTATAATTATACATACAAAAATAAATTAGATATATGTTATATAAATAGATTAAAAATTATTTTTATAAATATATATTAAAATAAATTTATTTAACGACTACWACWACAACAAAAAATTATATTGCATTTAATATAATTATAATTAATGATATTATTAAACATAATAATTATATTAATTTAATATAATATACTAAACAGTATACTATATATATATATTCAAAAAAAAGTTTTAATAATAAATTTTATTTTAATAATATAAGTTTTTTTTAAACATTAAAACGGATTAATATTAATCAGAGTATTACTTAATATTATAATAATAGTAAAAAATATATGACAAAAAAATTACTGTTAAAAATATAGTACTATTACTACTATTACTACTAAAATTTAATAACAAAATAAATTTAACAAAAAAAATTATATTTTATTACTTCTATTATTAGTATTATTAATATTATTAAACATCTACTAAAAAAAGCTAATTTATTTTTTTTTAAATAATAATAATAATAAAAGTTTTATATAATTTACTTTATATATACAGTATACAGTATATTACTGTATATACTGTATAATAATAATAAAGTTTTTTTTCAACAAAATATAAATCACTAGAAATTAGTTTTGTCTGGTATTTGACTGCAAATAAATATATGGTTCACAACAACAACAACAACAATAAGATTAATAATAATAATAATAATAATATTAACAAAACAACAACAAAATTTGGTCGAAAAAAATATTTATTTATTTATTTTTTTAGTGAAAAAAATCTCTCTTTTTTTATTTAGTTGTATTTATTAGCAAATATATATATATATATTAACTCTATTAGAGAGAGAGAGAGAGAGAGAGAGAGAGAGAGAGAGAGAGAGAGAGAGAGAGAGAGAGAGAGAGAGAGAGAGAGAGAGAGAGAGAGAGAGAGAGAGAGAGAGAGAGAGAGAGAGACTGAGAGAGAGAGAGAGAGAGAGACTGAGAGAGAGAGAGAGAGAGAGAGAGAGAGACCTCATTAAAAGCAAAGTTATTATAGCGTCTGGAAGTCAAAGAATTTTCAGACTTTTCTTCCACTTCTTTATTCTGAGTCTAAGTCTTCATCTTATTCTTAGTTAAGAATGCTTTCAATTAAATACAGACTTTATATATATATATAAGAAATGATTTGTGAAATATGTGTGTCTATAGTCTGTGTGTTTGTATGTGTGTGTGTGTGTGTGTGTGTATGTATGTATGTATGTATGTATGTGTGTCTATGTATGTGTATTTCTATGTATGTATGTGTGTCTATTTATGTGTGTGTCTATGTATGTATGTGTGTATATGTATGTATGTGTATGTCTATGTATGTATGTGTCTCTATTTATATGTATGTCTATGTATGTCTATGTATGTCTATGTATGTATGTGTCTCTATGTATGTATGTGTGTCTATTTACTGTATGTATGTGTATGTATGTGTATGGTTGTGTGTATATATATGTATGTCAGTGTATATGTATGTATGTATGTATGTATGTATGTATGTATGTATGTATGTATGTATGTATGTATGTATGTATGTATGTATGTATGTATGTATGTATGTATGTATGTATGTATGTATGTGTGTGTATGTATGTGTGAGTGTGTGTCTGTGTGTGTATGTATGTGTGTGTCTATGTATGTGTTAATTCAAATCACATTCCTTATAATATGACTGTCCTTCTCATATATATATWTATATATATACAGTATATATAGATATATTTGTATTATGAAAAAGTAAATGAATTTCTATTACTATAAATTGTATAAATGTTTTAGTCATTTATTAATTTTAATATACTGTACTTTATCTAATTATTTGTTAGATGTTTATTATGATTATTATTATTATTACAAAATTAATTTATAAAAATATTTTAAGATAATAATTTAGTATCAAATAATTTTTACTGAAAAAAAAAATTTAAATTAATTAATCTTATTGAAAGATATTTGTTTTATTGATTATATGTATTAATCATTTAATTAATTAATTATATTATTAAATATATTTTGTAAATTATATATATATTATAGTAAATCTACTTTTTATATTTATATTATATTTATATATATAGCGATAATAGATATATAAATGTATATTGAATTGAAAAATGTTAACAAAAATAGTTTTCATTGACATTAACAACAACTACAACAACAAAACACACAATAAATTTGCTAAAAACTAAGTTAAAGTCTATATATATATAATACATTTAGACTTATTTTTTGTTTGTTTGAATTATATTAGTCTCTCTCTCTCTCTCTCTCTCTCTCTCTCTCTCTCTCTCTCTCTCTCTCTCTCTCTCTCTCTCTCTCTCTTTACTGTACAGTATGTGTGAGTTAATACACAATGAAATGTAATWATAATAATAATAATAATGAAAAAATAAAGTTTTCAAAATTGAATTACTCTTAAAGAGCTTTTAATTTATTTTTTTTTATATATATAKATATTTTTTGTTGTTATATATATTTTTAACGACAAAAATATGTGGACACTATTGTGTGTCCATTAGTGATAACTTCATAGACACTATTTGTATTTAATATTTTTTTTATATAATATTTTTGTTGTTGTTGTTGTTAAAAGTCCATATCATACAGTATTTTATTTTATTTTTATTATTAGTATTATTTGTGTTAAAAATAGGATATATATATATATACCGTATAATACTTGTGTTTATCTATCAGAAACAGACAGTTTTTTTTATTTGAGTAAAAACTAAATATATATATATAAATAAAAAATAATTTTTTAAATTATCAAAATAAATAGATATAACAATAATAATAGTAAAAATATTTATTTTTKAAGTTAATATAACTAATAAATATATATATATTAGTTTCAAATAATTAAAAACAAACAACTATAGTATTATTAGTATAATTTTTTTTTAAATAATTAAATAATAAATTTTATATTTCTGTTTTTATTTTTTTAATATTTTAATTAAAAATAAAAGTTAATCTTTATATGACTTTTGTAATAAATTCTATCATCAAAAACATCTATTGATTATTTGTTTGTTAGAAAATTAAAGTTTTTAGTTAAAAAACAAATAAACAAAATATATGACTAACATACACTCACACACACACACACACACACTACACACACACACTCACTCACTCACTCACTCACTCACTACACACACTACACACACTCACTACACACACTACACACACTACACACACATACACACACTACACACACACACACACATACACACACATACACACACATACACACACACACACACACACACACATACACACACATACACACACACACACAAATACACACACATACACACACACACACACATACACACACATACACACACATACACACACATACACACACACACACACACACACACACATACACACACATACACACACATACACACACATACATACACACACATACACACACATACACACACATACACACACATACACACACATACWCACWCATACWCACTCACACACTCACTAATCCTTTAAAAACTTACTGTAATTTTRTTTTTTTCAAAAGTCTGTAAATATATCTCACAATTTTCAAACTCTGTCTTAAAATTTAAGTCCGCTTTTGTTTTGACGATAATTTTGATTAAATTTTTGTATTTATTTATTTATTTTTTACATTGAAATATAAAACAATACAACAAACAATTGTTTGTCTATTTTGTTGATAATTCTGTATATTTTTTTCAAAAACTATATATAATTTTATTTTAATTCCTCCGAGACATAGATTGGTATGTATTTTATACACTATATATATAATTATATATATATTTCAATATAKTGTGCAATAAAWTTATTTAATTATTTGATAGCTTAATGCATTATAAATATTATTATTATTATTAATACAGTCTAAAAGCTTAATTTAAATTATTTTATTTCTAATAATTTAATAAAACATTTAATACATAAATACCGTATATATATAAATCAAAATAAAATATTAATTGTTAATAATTTGAATCTAAAAATATATACATATTAAGTAATTTATATATTTATATATATATATATATATATATCTAAATAAAATAAAAATTATATTTTACATTAAATTATAGTATAYATACATACCTAATAACATCATAATATAATATATTGTTTATGTATGTATGTATGTGTGTGTGTGTGTGTGTGTGTGTGTGTATGTATGTGTATRTATATGTGTRTATATGTATGCATCCAATTACTGGTAATATATATATAAATATATATTATTTTTTTTATTTTGATAAACACGTCATAATAAGTACTGTATTATACAATATATCAAACATACAGTAAATTATGTTGTATTATAAACATAATGTTTTTTTGTAGATTATATACACTATCAGTAGATTACTATCAATGTATTATATAATATACTATATATATAATAGTGTTGTATAAAACTGTTGTGTAATAAATCATTTAAATTGTTATCAAAACCGTTA